AGGATGTTCCTGTGATTTATGTCATAGAGTGTTCTGTCTGTGTTTTCCTCAAAGAGTTTTATAGTGTCTGGCCTTACATTTAGGTCTTTAATCTATTTTGAGTTTATTTTTGTGTACAGTGTTAGGGAGTGTTCTAATTTCATTCTTTTACATGTAGCTCTCCAGTTTTCCCAACACCACTTATTGAAGAGACTGTCTTTTCTCCATTTTATATACTTGCCTCCTTTGTCATAGATTAGTTGACCATAGGTGCGTGGGTTTATCTCTGGGCTTTCTATCCTATTCCATTGATCTGTATTTCTCTTTTTGTGCCAGTACTATACTGTCTTGATTACTATAGCTTTGTCATATAGTCTGAAGTCCAGGAGCCTGATTCCTCCAGCTCTGTTTTTCTTTCTCAACATTGCTTTGGCTATTCGGGGTCTTCTGTGTCTCCATACAAATTGTGAAATTTTTTGTTCTGGGTCTGTGAAAAATGCCATTGGTAGTCTGATAGGGATTGCATTGAATCTGTAGATTGCTGTGGGTAGTAGAGTCATTTTCACAATATTGATTCTTCCAATCCAAGAACATGGTATATCTCTCCATCTGTCTGTATCACATTTAATTTTTTTCATCAGTGTTTTATAGTTTTCTGCCTACAGGTCTTTTGTCTCCTTAGGTAGGTTTATTCCTAGGTATTTTATTCTTTTTATTGCAGTGGTAAATGGGAGTGTTTCCTTAATTTCTCTTTCAGATTTTTCATCATTAGTGTATAGGAGTGCAGGAGATTTCTGTGCATTAGTTTTATATCCTGCTACTTTACAAAATTCATTGTTTAGCTCTAGTAGTTTTCTGGTAGCATCTTTAGGATTCTCTATGTATAGTATCATGCCATCTGCAAAGAGTGACAGCTTTAATTCTTCTTTTCCGATTTGGATTCCTTTTATTTCTTTTTCTTCTCTGATTGATGTGGCTAAATCTTCCAAAGCTATGTTGAATAATAGTGGTGAGAGTGGACAGCCTTGTTTTGTTCCTGATCTTAGAGGAAATGGTTTCAGTTTTTCACCATTGAGAACTATATTTGCTGTGGTTTTGTCATATATGGCCTTTATTATGTTGAGGTAAGTTCCCTCTGTGCCTACTTTCTGCAGGGTTTTTATCATAAATAGGTATTGAATTTTGTCAAAAGCTTTTTCTGCGTCTATTGAGATGATCATACGGTTTTTCTCCTTTAGTTTGTTAATATGGTGTATTGCATTGATTGATTTGTGTATATTGAAGAATCCTTGCATTCCTGGGATAAACCCCACTTGATCATGGTGTATGATCCTTTCAATGTGCTGTTGGGTTCTGTTTGCTAGTATTTTATTGAGGATTTTTGCATCTATGTTCATCAGTGATGCTGGCCTGTAGTTTTCTTTTTTTGTAACGTCTTTGTCTGATTTTGGTATCTGGGTGATGGTGGCCTCGTAGAAAGAATTTGGGAGTGCTCCCCCCTCTGCTATCTTTTGGAAGAGCTTGAGACGAATAGGTGTTAGCTCTTCTCTAAATGTTTGATAAAATTCTGCCTGTGAAGCCATCTGGTCCTGGGCTTTTGTTTGTTGGAAGATTTTTAATCACAGTCTCAATTTCAGTGCTTGTGATTGGTCTGGTTTTATTTTCTATTTCTTCCTGGTTCGGTCTCGGAAGTTTGTGCATTTCTAAGAATTTGTCCATTTATTCCAGGTTGTCCATTTTATTGGCATAGAGTTGCTTGTAGTAATCTCTCATGATCCTTTGTATTTCTTCAGTGTCAGTTGTTAGTTCTCCTTTTTCATTTCTAAACCTGTTGATTTGAGTCATCTTCCTTTTTTTCTTGATGAGTCTGGCTAATGGTTTATCAGTTTTGTTTACCTTCTCAAAGAACCAGCTTTTAGTTTTTTTGATCTTTGCTATCATTTCCTTCATATTTTTTCATTTATTTCTGATATGATCTTTATGATTTCTTTCCCTCTGCTAACTTAGGGAGTTTTTTGTTCTTCTTTCTCTAATTACTTTAGGTATAAGTTTAGGATTTTTATTTAAGTTTTTTCTTGTTTCCGGAGGTAGGATTGTATTGCTCTAAACTTCCCTCTTAGAACTGCTTTGCTGCATCCCATAGTTTTTGGCCATTGTGTTTTCATTGTCATTTGTTTCTAGATGTTTTTTGATTTCCTCTTTGATTTCTTCAGTGATCCCTTGGATATTTAGTAACGTACTGTTATCCTCCATGTGTTTGTATTTTTTACAGTTTTGTTCCTCTAATTGATATCTAGTCTCATAGTGTTGCGGTCGGAAAAGAAACTTGATATGATTTCCATTTTCTTAAATTTACCAAGGCTTGATTTGTGACCCAAGAGATGGTCTATCCTGGAGAATATTCCATGAGCACTTGAGAAGAAAGTGTATTTGTTTGTTTTTGGATGGAGTATCCTATAAATAGCAATTAAGTATATCATTTAAAGCTGTGTTCCATTATTTATTTTGATTTTGTATAATCTGTCCGTTGGTGAAAGCGGGGTGTTAAAGTCCCCTACTATGATTGTGTTACTGTCGATTTACACTTTTATGGTTGTTTAGCATTTGCCTTATGTATTGAGGTGCTCCTATGTTGGGTGCATAAATATTTACAATTGTTATGTCTTCTTCTTGGATTTATTCCTTCATCATTATGTAGTGTCCTTCTTTGTCTCTTGTAATAGTCTTTATTTTAAAGTCTATTTTGTCTGATATGAGAATTGCTACTCCAGCTTTCTTTTGATTTCCATTTGCATGGAATATCTTTTTCCATCCCCTCACTTTCAGTATGTATGTGTCCTAGGTCTGAAGTGGGTCTCTTGTAGACAGTGTATATATGGACAGGTCTTGTTTTTGTATCCATTCACCCTGTCCGTGTCTTTTGGTTGTAGCATTTAATCCATTTACATTTAAGGTAATTATCAATATGTATGCTCCTATTACCATTTCCTTAATTGTTTTGGGTTTGTTATTGTAGGTCTTTTCCTTCTCTTGTGTTTTCTGCCTAGAGAAGTTCCTTTAGCATTTGTTGTAAAGCTGGTTTGGTGGTGCTGAATTCTCTTAGCTTTTGCTTGTCTGTAAAGGTTTTAATTTCTCCGTTGAATCTGAATGAGATCCTTGCTGGGTAGAGTAATCTTGGTTGTAGTTTCTTCCCCCTCATCACTTTAGATATGTCTTGTCACTCCCTTGTGGCTTGCAGAGTTTCTGCTGAAAGATCAGCTGTTAACCTTATGGGGATTCCCTTGTATGTGTTTTGTTGTTTTCTCCATGCTGCTTTTAATATTTTTTCTTTGTGTTTAATTTTTGATAGTTTGATTAATAAGTATTTGTCTTTTTGTTACTAGCTTATTTTACTTAGCATAATGTCCTCAAGATTTATCCATGTTGTAGTGTATTAGAGGAATTCCTCCTTTTATAATTTTGAATGATATTCCGCTGTATTTATTTATCATATTTTCTTCATCCACTCATCTGTTGATAAATGTTAAGGTTACTTCAATCTCTTGATTTTTATGAATAATGCTACGGTGAACATAGGCGTGCAAATATCTCTTCAAGATTCTGTTTTCAACTCCTTTGGATATATGCCAAGGAGTGTGAATGTTGGAGGATACAATAATTCTATTGTTCATTTTTTGAGAAATTTTCATATTCCCTGTACTTTATGTTCTTGATGTAACAAATTTCATTTTTCATATTGTGTATCTATTAACATAGTTTTATCAATATAGGTATTTTGTGTACTTTTAAATTCAACATCAGAGTTAAAGTGATTTCATCAACACTATTACAGTAATTTGAGATTCTGTACTTGTCTATTTATATATCTTTACCAAAGACCTATATATTTTGTATGTTTTCATGTTGCTGTCTAGTGTTCTTTCATTTTAGCTTGGAAAACTCCCTTTAGCAGTTCTTGTAAGGCAGGTCTGGGGGCATTGAACTCCATCAGCTTTCAGTTATCTGAGGAACTCTTTATTTTGCCTTCATTTTTGAAAGGTAGTTTTCCAGATAGAATATCTTGGTGAGCTGTGGGTTTTTTTCTTTTATTTTAGCACTTTGAGAATATTATTCCCCTTGATTCTGAACTCTAAGTTTTCTGCTGAGAAATCTGCTAATAATTTTATGAGAACTCCCTTTTGTGTGATGAGTTGCTTTTCTCTTCTTTCCTTCAAGATTTTTTTCCTGTGTTTTCGACTTTTGACAGTTTTATTATCATGTGCCTCAGTGTGGGCTTCTCTTGGTTTATCCTTTGGAATCTCTTGAGATTCTTGAATTCAGGTAAGTTGGAAAGTTTGGAAAGTTTTCAACTATTATTTCTTCAAATATACTCTCTCTTTTCCTTCTGGACTCCCAGAAAGAGTTGGAGTCCAGAATGTGTATATTGGTCCTCTTTGATGGTTTCCCATAAGCTCCTTAGGTTTTACTCACTTTTCTTCATTTTTTTTCTTTTACTTTTCTAAATTGGTAACTTCAAATGATCTCTCTTTGAATTTGCTAGTTCTTTTTTTTGTTCGATCAAGACTGCTGTTGTACCCCCCTACAACAATTTTAAATTCAGTTATTATATTATACAGCTCCAAGTTTTCTGTTTGGTTCTTTTTAATTTTCTATCTATTTATTGATATTCTCATTTTGTTCATGCATTGTTTTCTTGATTTTGCTTACTTATCTATCTGTATTCTCTTTAGGATCATTGAGTTTTGAGATAGTTACTTTTATTTCTTTGTCAGGTCATTCATATATCTCCGTTTCTTTAGTGCTGGTTTCTGGAGATTAATTTTTTTCTCTTCATTGGGTCATGCTTTGCTGTTTCTTCATATGCATTGTGACTTTAACCCCACTCCCCCCCCCAACCCCCCCCCCACCACAAGACTTGGTTATTTGGAAAAACAGCCTCCTCTCCCAGTCTTTACAGACTAGCTTCATATAGAGGAAGACCTTCACCAATTAGCCTGGCTAGAGATTCTTGGGGCCTCTCAAACCTTTTCTGTGGATATGTCTTCTCTGTGCTTGTGGGTGTAATTTCTCAATTGGAGAGATTTGCCAGTTTCTTTTCTGGGAGCTCAAAATGTTTTCCTCCCTCGGTATCTGTCTGCAATACTGCAGGTTCTCTGGTGCTCCATTAAGATATTTAGCTGTCTTTTGTACTGAGTGCCCAGATATCCAAAGTATTGTAATTCCATCAGTTTTCTTCCTGTGAGGTGAGACAAAAACCAGTCCTTTGAACAACCTGCCAAAAAACAGAAAGTTAGACACGTGTTATACTCTTCTCTTTCCCTTCCAAGGGAGAAACTTCCAAGTTGGCTATTTTCTCCCAGGCATGGCTGAATTGTGCCAATCTGGGGGAGGATAATCATAGGTAGAATGAAGTAGCTTTTCTTAGCTTTTTCAATACAGCTGCTCTTAGCTTTGTGCTCACCTGGGGTACTGTGACTTCTTCATTGGTTTCTGGAGTTTTCATTAAGGCATTTTGGTTTGTATATTGCTATTAAGTTGGTGTTTCTATGAAGGGAATTGGGGCTAGAGCTTTCTCAACTGTCATCTTGCTGACATGATGCTCCTGTCCCATAACATTTTTTTAATATCACAGCAGGATAGCCTTGTTTTAAAACACAAAATTAGCCTGATCTAAAAATAGCTCTTTGGGCTGATAGATATAGTAAACATGTTATTGAGCATTTGCCATAAACATAGGTGGTTACAGGCAAAGAAGAAAAGCTTAGGGTTTTTCACTGACCAAGCAAAGATTTAGCCAATCATTAATCAATCTTGATGTAGTAAGCACCTAGTGTTCTTAAATCATTCAGTTCTAGCAAGAAAAACGTAGGATAATTTAGTCAGGAATTCATTATTGACAAATATTTAGGCCTATGAGAAAATATAGTGCTTTTGAAATCTTCCAGGTAATTGCTAGATGGCTTATAGGAGAGTTATGAGTTTTATAAATCTTTTTTATTAAATATAGTATATTTCAGTCCTGCTCTTTCCTCAGTTATTCATTAATAGGAGGATGCTATGAATGTATTAGAAAGATACCAAAAGAGGTAGATTGATGTGCAGCCGCAATGACAGCCACCATGAGGCGTCTGGTCACCAACACTGCTAAAACTAAGGAGATATAGTCATCATAATAGTAATGTTAGGACAGTGAGAAGAGCTCATAGTAGTAGTTGACATTTAAACTCTAGACTCAACATTATATTTCAGTTTGTTTTCCCTTTTTGTCTCTTTAATTCCTTGGGTACACCTTGACTCAAATCATATTTAGATCCCAGCTTAAAAAGAACAAGCTTGGACTATGGTGTAATCAGGGTTATACTGGATTTGAGGAATTATTTTCAGTAGATTTAGCAGTTTCAACTGAGGATAGATTAATGGTCCCCTGTATACCTTGTCACCTTTTATACTCTGCTTACCCTTAATGTGGTCTTTATTGTGTTTTAATCAGAAGCTATCATGGGAATATTCTGAACCAAGGTTAGGATTTTATGTAAAATAATGAGAAAGGGCATGAGAGGAGTAGAGACTGATGAAAATAAAGAATTGAAAAATAGTAAAATTCAATATAGCAACACTAAAATTAAAGCACCTGGATATTCATTCTCCTAAAAATCCACTGACTTTTTCACATCCAGTCATGTGTGCCAAATGCTAGGTTAATGATAGTCTTACAATTCTGTCATCAGATTATTAAAAGACCGTATGGGGCAATGACCTTTGTAATTATGCTAATAGCAAATCCTTCCTTATACAGACGTGCCTCATTTTATTACACTTCACAGATATTGTGTTTTTTACTAACTGAAGTTTTGTGGCAACCCTGCGTTGAACAAGTCTATTATTGCCATTTTTCCAACAGCATTTCCTCACTTCATGTCTCTGTGTCACATTTTGGTAATTCTCACAATATTTCGTACTTCTTCTTTATTATTGTATTTGTTACGGTGATCTGTGATCAGTGATCTTTGATGTTACCATTGCAAAAATATTATGACTTGTAGGTTCAAATGATATCATTTTTTAGCAATAAAGTATTTTAATTAAAATACATACTTTTTTTAGACATAATGCTATTATCGCATACTTAATAGACTACAGTATGGTGTAAACATAACTTTTATATGCACTGCAAAATCAAAAAATTCATGTGATTCACTTTATTGCGATCTTTACTTTATTGGGGTGGTCTGGAACTGAACCTACAGTATCTCCAAGGCATGCCTGTATCAGAAAGTATCTGAGGACTGTGAAAAAATGCCTCCTTCCTTAGATTGGCTCTATGCAAACGCTTCACTTCAGATTAAGTACATGCACAGGAACAGTTCAATTTCGTCCCACCCAGCCTACCCCCAAAATTATCATTGCATGATACTCCTTTACACCCATGCATCCAGTTAACACTTTTAGGCAGGAAGAGATGAATTACTCTTATTACCATTCAAAAGTTTAATGCTTGACCAACAGGACAAGGATATTGACATTCCTGATGCAGGACCACAGTGAATTGAGTAAAGAATAAACAAATGTTAAGAGACTGTTTATCTGGGATTGTTTTGGTTCTAGGCCCAACTCTGCAACTTACTAGCTATGTGCCTTTATGTAAATTATCTAAGATTTCTGTGAGTTTATATATCTAAAGTATAGACTTGGTTTAATGGCATAATAATGAATTTTAGAGTTGAAAAATAGATAGAAAAGAACAAAGCTTGTAAATCTTTCTAAATCCAGCGGTAAGAACTGTGAATAACATGTGTAGTTCTTTCTACTTTTAGCATATAAGTCCATACATATACACACAAATAAATACACATAATGGAATCATGATGTATCTACACTTTTATGACCAATTTTTTTCTTTTAACATCATATTGTGAATATCTTCCTTTGATTCCATATACATAATCACATCACTAATGTATTCAGTTATCCTTTTTTAAGTATATTTTCATAATTTATTTAGACAATCCTCATTTATTGAACATTTAACATGTTTACTGCATTTTGCTATTACACATACAGCTTCAGTGAATTCCTTCAGGCAAACTTTGAAAATTTATCTTCATATGATAAATTCCCAGAATTAAAAATGCTGTACCAAAAGCTATTCACATTTTCGGACATTTGCCACAAATTACAAACAGTCAAAAAACAAATCAGTAAAGGAGACATGAACCAGCATTTCACAAAAGAGGAAATGCTGTGGCCAATGAATTATTTAAAAAATGAATGGTTGAGTGAATGCAAATGAAGACTATGATGATATACAACTTTGCCCCTAGTCAATTGGCAACTGTTTAAAAGTTGGATAATATCAGGTGCTGAGTAGGTTCCACCGGATCTTTAAGATATTGCCACTGGGAGCTTAAACTGATGCAACCACTCTGGAAAGCAGTTCAATGTTATATTCTAAAATTGACCACTTACATACTGATGACTCAGCAACTCCACTCCCAAGTAGCTAAGGGAATTCTTGCACATGTGTAGCAGCATACATATTCAATAATATTCACAATAATAAAAATTTGGGAACATCTCAAGTACACCATCTGGAAAGCTGAAGAATAAACAGTGTCATATTCCTCCAGTGAAATAATAAACAGCAGTCAATGTGAATGACATACAACAATATAGATGATTATTGGCAGTATAATAGTATGTGAAAAAAAATAAACTTTTGCCACTAAAGAACAAAAGAACTGAGGAGACCTTCAAGATGGCAGAGGAATAAGATGTGGAGATCACCTTCCTCCCCACAACTACATCAGAAATACATCTACATATGGAACAACTCCTAGAGAACACCTACTGAATGCTGGCAGAAGACCTCAGACTTCCCAAAGGCAAGAAACTTTCCACCTACCTGGGTAGGGCAAAAGAAAAAACAGAGACAGAAGAATAGGCACTGGACCTGCCCCTCTGGGAGGGAGCTGTGAAGGAGGAAAAGTTCCCACACACTAGGAAGCCCCTTCACTGGTGGAGACAGGGGGTGACGGTGTGGGGGGGAAGCTTCGGAACAATGAAGGAGAGCACAGCAATAGGGGTGAAGAGGGCAAAGTGGAGAGATTCCCACACAGAGGATCAGTGCCAAACAGCACTCACCAGCCTGAGAGGATTGTCTGCTCACCCTCCGGAGCGGGTGGGGGCTGGGAGCAGAGGCTCGGGCTTTGGAGGTCAGGTCCCAGGGAGAGGACTGGGGTTGGCTGCGAGAACATAGCCTGAAAGGGGCTAATGTGCCACAGCTAACCGGCAGGGAGTCCGGGAAAATGTCCAGAACTGCATAAGAGTCAAGAGACCATTGTTTCGGGGTGCGCCAGGAGAGGGGATTCAGAGCACCACCTAAACCCAGAGACAGACGTGAGACGCGGCTATCAGCGCAGACCCCAGAGATGGGCATGAGACACTAGGGCTGCTGCTGCAGCCACCAAGAAGCCTGTGTGTAAGCACAGGTGACTATCCACACCTCCCCTCCTGGGAGCCTGTGCAGCCCGCCAAAGCCAAGGTCCTGTGATCCAGGGACAACTTCCCCGGGAGAAAACACAGCATGCCTCAGGCTGTTGAAACATCACACTGGCCTCTGGCGCTGCAGGCTCCCCTGCATTCCGGACTCCTCCCTCCCCCCAGCCTGAGTGAGCCAGAGCCACCTAATCAGCTGCTACTTTAACCCTGTCCTGTCTGAGTGAAGAACAGATGCCCTCCGGCAACGTACAGGCAGAGGTGGGGCCAAATCCAAAGCTGAACCCCAGGAGCTGTGCAAACAAAGAAGAGAAAGGGAAATTTCTCCCAGCAACATCAGGAGCAGCGGATTAAATCCCCACAATCAACTTGATGTACCCTGCATCTCTAGAATACATGAATAGACAACGAATCATCCCAAAATTGAGGCGGTGGATTTTGGGAGCAACTGTAGACTTGGGGTTTGCTTTCTGCATCTAACTTGTTTCTGGTTTTATGTTTATCTTACTTTAGTATTTAGAGCTTACTATCATTGGTAGATTTGTTTATTGATTTGGTTGCTCCCATCCTTTTTTTTTCTTTATATATATATATATATTTTTTTTTTTCTTTTTCTCTTTTTGTAAGTGTGTATGTGTATGCTTCTGCGTAATTTTTGTCTGTATAGCTTTTCTTTTACCATTTGTCCTAGGGTTCTGTCTGTCCATTTTTTTGTTTTTTTGGGTTTTTTTTTTTTATAACTTTTAGTGCTTGTTATCATTGGTGGATTTGTTTTTT